TCTTTCCCTGAAAGCTTTACCCCTGTACTCCCTGTGTTCATATTAACCTATTGCATTGTGGCAAAACACCTTCTTCTTGTGTCTGAATTATCCAGGCAGGTTTCTTGCGGTTATTTTCGCCTTTTGTCTACTTAGTCTGGTCTCAGAATCCTTTCTGGGGTACTAGTTTGGTAGAAAAGTTGTAGTGATGCTACAGTAGTTTAAAAGATATTCCCAGGAGTGTAAATTAAAGGAAAAAATCTCACCCTTTGCTCTCTTAAAATGAATTTCCAAAATGTGGTTCTTTAGACAGCCAGAACTGCCCAGTAATTGGGATGAAAGTCATGCATGTTGTCTAGCATTCTGTGTAACAGCGATCAGTAGCCCAGGTCCCGCGCTAACAGAGAGCTGTTCTCTTGTCCGGTCCGGCCCGCCTGGCACGCAGAGGAGGCGGTCAACGAGGTGAAGCGGCAGGCGATGACCGAGCTGCAGAAGGCCGTGTCCGAGGCCGAGCGGAAGGCGCACGATATGATCACCTCGGAGCGCGCCAAGATGGAGCGCACGGTGGCCGAGGCCAAGCGGCAGGCGGCGGAGGACGCTCTCGCTGTCATCAACCAGCAGGAAGATTCGAGCGAGGTGAGGTGCCGATGGAAGACTCCCTGGGGAGATGCTTCCGTTAATGAGGGCGAGCCTTTTCGATTTCAGGAGATCACAAGTAAAGGCGGATATTGGAGTTGAGACAAACGAATCTTTGGTGGGGGGATTGGAGTAATTCGGAGAGGCTTGGCACTTGTGGAGTTGACCAAGAGCTGATCAAATTTTGTTTTTATTAAAGAACAACTGCCAAAAAAGGTTTTTAATATATTTGGTGGGTAACAGATTAAAGTGAAATTCTTAGAACTTCCTAGCACTATTTAGATTCAGAACTCTGTTGTGTGTGTGTGTGAGCATATGTGTGTGGTTTCCTTCTAACAGCTCTGGGATTTAGGAGTGAGACCCTGTGTAAGCTGTGTAGTCTGAAGACATATTGCAGGCCAGGGATCAAAGTCACTTCCTTAACTGTTGGTTCTGAAGTCCAATGCTAAACCAACGCTTGCATCAATTAAACATTTCTAAGAGATCTTCTGCACAGTCTGATTTTGCATATTATTTGTAATAACCATTATGATGGTCATTTCATACCATAACATCACTGCCAGAGGTAATGTTATTTAGTGTTATTACAGTATATTTAAAACACATACACACGTAGCCTAAATGGCAGAAGGATCTGGGAAGTAACTAAAACACAGTGTCTAACAGACTGCCTTTCAACAGAGACTAAAGTCAGAGCAACATGGTAATGCTCTGCATTAACACAGCACCACAATCCCCAACCCAAAGGACCCTTAGTTAAGGACTACAGTTAGCTAGTCACACCGTGCTGAACTAGCAACAGCATAAGCTGATAAATCAACGGTCCACTAAAACACATATCTACAATTTGTGAAGGAGAGTAAGAATTTAATTTGTACCAGGCTTGTCTGTAGATGAAAGACCCTGTGGGAATTATTCGATACCCAGAGTTTCTATTTAATGTATAGCAGATGAATAAGAAGGGGACAAAAGCAATTGATTTTCAACATTTGAAAGTTTCTCGGGAAAAGAGGGACAAAGGGAAGTGTATCTACCCTTTAACTGCAGACTTTTCCATTGTTGAATTAAACTAGACATAAATTCAATTTTACTGGATCTTATGGCTAAGATATTTAAAGACTTTGTTTTGTGTTATTTGAAAGAAAACACAAATTTTATTAGCATCTTTGGGACAGAATTTGTCCTGCTCTATTCAAGTTAGTAATACTGTGAGGCACAGTTGTTGCCATCATTAAAACATTATCACTTTCATATGAACGTTTTAAGGCTGGCATGTTAAGAGTATTTTATAGGTCACTAAATTCTAAAGATAAATATCTTGGAGAAATTGAGAATTAAGTCTTTATATTTGGCTAATAATGCTGTATTTCTTTAGTATCTATAAGCTGTGTACCTTTATTTCTAATTATCCAGAAAAATATATGAGCTTGACACTGGTATTGAGCATTATAAAAATGGGTGTATCGAGCAGTAACTAGAAATAGTAGATAGGATGAAATAGCCTAGATATGAGTCATCTTCTAAAGTAACTGTTTTCTTTCTTTCTTTTTGGGTATCTTGAGAAACTGATCTTTAATAGCACTACCCTTGTCTTTCTCAAGGATTTTAAAGTATACTATGCTAGGAGGAAAGGTTTGGGAGCCAGAGAGCCACATTTAATTCCTGGCTCCATCTATTATAATTCTGTGATTTCAAGAAAACCACTAAACCTCTAAAAGCTTTGGTTTTCTCATCTCATACGGTGTCTAGAACCTTGAGATGTAATCATTTTATCATGTTGCAGGTGAGGAAGCTCACATGGCTAGTCATGCAGCTAGGGGTTGGCAGGATCCATGCTGGAGCTCTCAGCATGCTGTCAGTCCTTACATTGTTCCAGAACAATGAAACAAGCATCATGAAGGTCATTTTTGGATACAGATTTTAAAACTGTACACTATGGACATTTTTTTAAAAATCAGGTTTGCAACCTGCCCAGGGCAGTTTGTTATTTGATACATATTACTCTAAATTATATCCATTTATTTATTCTGTCAATAACAAATTATTCTATGTCGGGGACAGCGCTAGGCACTGAAGATACAGTGGTTCCTACGTTCTTGTTCACTATAATTCATTAGAAGAGTCAGATCACTAAATTATGAGTCTTAGTAGAGTTTAGTGCAAAGGCTTCTGGGAAAAATTTTTGTTTCATCTGATACTTAAGGATAACCAGGAGCTGTTCAGCAGCCACCTTCCACCCACCTCCCACCCCACCCCCACATTGCCTCATCACTGCTTTTTTGGTCCATGCGCACGTCAGTGCCTTCGTGCAGGGAAGATGGGAAGGCAAGCTTTGCTAGGCTTTGAAAACAGGATGACTATGTGGCTGGTGAGTGTTTTGGAAGGATCACTCAGGCTGCAGTGTGGAGAGAGAGATGAGAGGAAATGAAAAGGAGGGACCGATCTGTTTCAGGATACAGATGAGGAGGAAGATGGTTGGATGAAGATGGTTGGCAGTGGTGCTAGGGGTGGAGAAAATTGAACCCGTGAGATAAAATGGGCAGGATTTGGGCTTCCCTGGTGGCGCAGTGGTTGAGAGTCTGCCTGCCGATGCAGGGGGTGCGGGTTCATGCCCTGGTCCGGGAAGATCCCACATGCCGCGGAGCGGCTGGGCCCGTGAGCCATGGCCGCAAAAAAAAAAAAAAAAAAGGGCGGGATTTGATGATTGGCCAGCTGACAAGGAACGGAGAGAGTTGTGGTTTTTCAGTAGACATGCAGAGTTTGGGGTGTACACATCAGGTGATCTTCCTTAAGCATTAAACCTTTAAAAACTTACTGGCTTTGATCTGCCCAGTGGTTTTTTGTGAAAGGTAACCTTTCTTCATTTTTTTTTTTTTTTTGTGCACAAACAACAAAAGTTAAAACATTTTAAGAAGTTCAAATAAATTATTTAATTCAACTAGACAGACAGATTTCCTCTGTAGATTGGAAAGGGCAGATAGAGCACAAAGGCCTAAATAGTTTATGCTGTCTAATGTGAAAACCAGGACAGTGCATGTTGATCCTCAAGCCCAGGTGCCTGCCTCTCAGGCCACTTCTTTAGTAGCCACACGGCAGTACACTCGACTCCTTCAGGATATTCCCATCCAGTTCTCTAATTTCACTTTGGTTTATAGACTAATAATCATTATTACTAACCGTTAGAATGACACTGGACTGCTTAGGCAGACACAAACAAATGACATTTTCTGTACTTTCTCTTTTAACGTGTATTACATATTTCATCAAGAATGTAATGCTAGCATTAGCATAAATCAAAAGAAAGGAAATTCAGTGAATCTGGCCATCTTCAACCATTTAAATTTTTTCTATATTCATTTCTGGTTCCTATCTGTAAACATATAGAGTCTTTTTTTCCAGTGAATATTGTTAGATTTGGACTTTTTCAAAAGGAACCTGCCACAGCTTTTCTTTGAGATCTGTAACTTGTTCTGGCTTAGGGGATCAAAGCACATGGCTGGAATTGAGCCTCGAACAGAGAGCAAATAATTGTACTGTTCCAATAGTTAGTTTCGAGTTTAAGCCACTAACGTGATATTTTCCCCCAGATTGAAACAGTCTTTATTCATTATTCCTAGATAGGTGCAGAAGTGCACACGCTTATATTGGGTGGTTTTGTGGCACTTAAGCAGAAACACTGACTGAACCTTTAAACTTTGTTTCCAGAACCTGCTGAGCCCTAATAGTGTGAACAGGTCGCTCTGAGAGGTTCATCTTCATTACCCCCTCTAGAATTAATAGAGCCATCCCCAGTGGATCCTGTGCAGTGTGGCCCAGACTCTGGGGATGGACTAAGTGGACTCAGTAGGAGGTAGTCCCCACACAGTTACTACACACAGTCTCCCAGCATGGCTCCCATTAAAGCCTCACAATCTGATCAGACCTATCGATCCCCAGAATAATTCAGAGCTCTCACAGTATGAGCTGATTCTATGTTACCTAAGATTTTTGCTTATTTGTTTCATTTATTAAAAGACCAGCTGTCTGAGTCCATAGATGTTCATGGTGTATTGGATGGTCTGGAATGATATGGAGTGGTTCACCTCTTGGAACTTTGGTTTTCTCATTATAAAACTGGGATAATGTTTATAACTCACTTTGCAAGGTGGTTGAGAGGTACTAATAAGATGAGTAGAAGTCTTTTATAAACAAGTCACCTTATAAAGAGCAGTGTGAGTATATAAGAGAGAGAAAAAATAAAAAACAATTAAGAAGCTATTCTAACAGGAAGGGCAGGGAAGGAATAGTAACCGTGAGATTGGAAAGGAAGGGAGACCATGGGGGAAGCAGGGTCTGTAGGGTTTGGCACTGAGAGGTTTCAGGGGAGTTTCCAATGAGATGACAAAGTCGTTGGCCTGAGTGTTGCCAGTGACTGAAAAGGACCACACCAGAGTCAGGTTTAGGGATTACTGATTTGGGTGACAGAGGAGCATCCTGGTGGCGCTACAGAACAGACCATTGAAAATAAGAGACAGCAGCTCAGGAAAGAAATGAAGGCTGGAGGAAGGTTTGAGAGTCATTTTCTTACAGCTAATGGTTTAAGACCATGACTGCCAAGGTAGAGTGTAGGAAGGAAAGGATATTTCTTTTCTTTATGCCAACTTCCCTCCTTGCCAAATATTTAGGGGAAAATGAAAAACTAGAAGAAGAAGAGGTTATAGTATAAGAAACAGAATTTTATTATCTTGAAACCAAAGTTAGAGGGACTTTCAATAAGGGAAGTTTTTTTTTAAAAGGAGGAATGGGGAAAAGGTTAGTAGTGGTAAATCTTCAGAAGGTCTGAGGGCAGCAAGGAAGGAGAAAAAGTAACTGGCCACTAATGACGTATAAGTGGAAGTAAGCTCATGTTCTGTCTGTGTAGCTGTCAATGCCTATCAAGGGAGGCACAGGGCCACGAGCTTTCTAATTGTAAAGGTTGTGCCATGCAGAGATGGTATGTAGTCTCATTTGCTTTCAGCCAGTGCCAAGAGGAGGAGGTGGTGTTAGTTCCTGCCGTTTATTCAGGACCCACCGAACATCAGGACTCTTTAGTTAGCACTGACATAATCCTGAATAACCCTGTCGTTATGATTCCTACTTTATAGGTACTGTCACTCTACGAGGTTAAGTAACTTGCCTGTAGTTCTGAATCCACTAAGTGATATAGTTGGAAGTGAAAAACCAAGAAAGGGTGACTGAAGCCACTCAAAATTGGAAGCCATTTCCATTACACACCATGATACCTTGTCTTTGGTGTTCCAACTTCCTGGTTCAACCTCTGTCTACTTTCAGGGTTGAAGTGCCCTCCTAACCTTATTCATGCCAAAACAGGCTATAAGAAAGATCTGAAATAGGCAAAGTGTGGCATTTTGGAAAGAGTATTTGGTTTGCAGTGCAAAGACCTGAGTGAATCAAACCTTACCTATTTGATTTCATATCTAGGTAAATCATTTACTATAAAAGTTATTTACATTTTGAGAATTTTAATTATAATCATTCTACTTTATTCATTGAACATCACTTGCGTGCAAGGGTTTTTCTGGAGAATTATAGGTGTGTGAGACCTGGAGAAACTTTTTAGGAGAAAATGTTTTGTTTCTGGTAAAAGGAATTTCCAGCAGTAAGAACCAGAAAGGCTATTATTTTGCTGGTAGGACAGAAAGACCATTCTCTCTGTATCTAAAATAACAAGATGAAAGAAATAATTTTGTTCTTAGGGACAAAAACGAATTGCTGATATGAAACAAGTATCAACAATCTTTGACATGCAGCTTTGGCACCAAAAGCTTCAACTCATCATTTCCATTTCCCTATGTAGTACCAGTACATTTAGAAAAGGGAGGGTTGTGTTCTGCCTCCTATTTTTCATCTGAGTCCTAGCCTAATTTTGGCCAATTGCTGATTCCCATAATAGGGAGGAAAACATTCCTTATGCTGAAAAGGGAATAATATTATCACAAATAAAGGGAGACTATAAAGTGCCATGGGCTTTGGGAATGAAATTTGCTATGAAATGGTATTCTCGAGACTTCTGTACTATTTTGGTAATTCAGTCACCAGCATCATTGCTTAGAGGACTGAAAGGGAAGCTCAGTTATATGAAAAATGAATGAATGAATGAATGAATGAAATAAGCAACTATCAGGTAATACTAGCCTGAATATGAAAAGCACAAATTGAAAAATATAAAATTAGATTAAGCCTTTGACCACCTTAATCCCTGCCCTACAGTTACACCCCTGGGTATCATACACAATTTGCAGTTTCCACCTTTGTGAATGGCAGAAAGCTTAGAAACTTAAAATGGTTAAAATTAGAGTACTCATAAGATTCTGCACATTGCACAGCTCCCAGAAGTGATGGTTGAGAGGCCAAGTGCCAGTGGTCAGGCATCAGTCTTACAGGTATGGATTAGTTAACAGGAAATTTGGTAGAGCCACCCAGGAGAAATTAATAGAAATTGCTGTGTCTGTCTTCTGAAAATGAACTTTTAAAAAAGAATATGCACTTTGGGGATTTACATTGGTTGAACACTTGAGCTAAAGTTCCCTATACATTCATGGCAATGCAATGTCAACAGCAATAAAAATATGCAGGTTTTTCCCACCAGCTCATTTGAATTGCTCTTTGTTGCACCTTCCTAAAGTCAAAGGTTGTTTTTGTCTCAGTGGTGGGTGGTAAATGAATGGGATTGAACAACTTGGGAGTGGGACTGGAGGTAAAACTAGCCAGAGCCGTTGAATCCTGGGTCAGAATCCAGAGATGCTAGGCAAAAAGGCTCCATTCCCAGCAGCTTCATAATCCAAAACATCTGTTTCTATATTTGGCACAATTCCACTTTTTTATTTGTAAAATTGTTCCCATCTTTGAAAACACTTTAAAAAATAAAGAAGTCCCCATTCTGTCTCCTCTTTCCATTCCCCAACACATGCATTTGTAATTACCTGGTTTAGTCTGTGTGTTTAATCAACTTAAATTGAGAAGGTTGCCTACATCTGATTTCAATCTGAAGGAGCCATTGAGAACTGGGCAGTTACTGCCTTGTGTCTGCCAAGATGTGCCTCTGCCAGAAAGCGGATAGAACTCACACCAGGGTATTTCCTAAAGAAGCCACTTGACTCAGATTAGATGTTTAATTTCCTTAAAATATTGTTTTGGATCTGGGTCTGTGTTCTCTAATTGGGATTTTCTGATGTTATTTAGGAATTTCACTTATTTCTGAGTTTGTTCCAGGATCCAGCTGGCATTATTCTAAATGCCTAAAGTTCAAGGAAGTAAACTTTCCTGAGTGATGAGTGTCATACCTTGCTGCTCTGGAGGATGGGCCAGGCCCATGTTTGTTCAGGCCTTTGTGGAACCATTGTCCTTGCAATAAGATTGAATTAATTTTGAGAAAGAAGGGCTTCTGATTTTGGTAATGAAGCCTCTGATCAGAGGTACATATTTTTTGAGCTATTTTCCTGGCTAAATTAAATGGAAGTAGGAAAAAAAATTACTTTGTTCTGGTACTATTAATTTTAATTCCATTTTTATTTATGATATTAACATATAAATCAAGCTTATAGATTTCTTCAGCCATGTTCACTTAAAACACCTTCCATTGGCCAGAGTTTGAGATCTTAAAGTTTTAATTTTTTTTCCCTTCATGGGCCATAATTTCTGAATGGTAAAGAAATATGAACATAGGGCTGAGCTCTTTCTAAAAGTTTTAAGCTGTAGTTCTTGAGTTTTTAGGCTTCCAGCACTTGAAAGACTCTTAGGAGCTCCTTTCGTTTTTAGCCAAATTAGAATGAGTGCTAAAAATTGCTTTGCATGTTTTGCACAGTGGTAAAGCCATACACAGACCAGGGTGATGGGCTGACATTCCACTGGGGCATTTTTAATAGGCTTATGAGCCCACCTTAAGCCACACAGCCAACATGCTGAAAGCAAAATAATTGCAGGGAACATAGTGGGGAGATTTTTAATATCCATATATATCAGGGCTTTAAAAAAGGTATTTTAACTGTGACACAGCTACGTACTGTCAGCTGGTTGGGGTTACCAGATTACAGTCGGAAGTTTGTTTTGCAAGAAAATAAAACCAAGGAAGATACAGGATAAAAGGATTAATGTCAAAAGCTAAGATCACTTGCTGTAACATTTCACAATGGGAATGGTCTTGCCAAAGGAAGCACAAACGTTTCAAGTTGGCTTCCTGAGGTTCCCCCTTCTCCTGGAAGGGTCCTTAGGGCACTGTCATTGTTAGTCTCCTCCCTGACACTCCCTCATTCCCCAGGATCTGTCCCACTTAGGGGTTCTTCCATCTCTAGTATGTCTGTCCCCAGATTCACAATGTGTTTTATCTCAGAGGAAGCCTCATTTCTGCTTTTCTCACTTCTTGGAAAGCACCAGTGGAGATTGGCAGTAGGCTTGCTAGGGTCCTAAAACTTGACAAATATTTATTGATCACCTACTATATATATCAGGTACTGTTGTGGGTGCTTAAAATATATCAGAGAAAAAACAAACCAAGGGTCCAATCTCCAGGGAGCTGAAGTAAAGGGGATTGTTTCGAGACTTTCCTACCATTTGGTTGTCAGGTACAGTGAATAACTGATTGCAGTGGGAAGAGCTTAAACACATGCCCTACTTTTTCTGGTCTGTGGTAGAGCAGAGGATAGAATCCTCTATCTAGTCCATTATATTCCTTTGAATCTAATAGAGCATCCTCATAGTCCCTTTGTGTTAGTGTCTTGCAGGAAGAAGCTTCTGCCAGGAGTGCTATCTTTGAGTCTTTCCATGGTGGTAGTCGTATTAGAAAGGAGAAAATTTAGATGGAGCAGTTGTTAGTATGGGTGAACAGAGAATTGAGATGTGAAGATAACTAAACCTAAAGGGAAGGGGTTTTATAGTAAAAATGGAAAAGAGCCTCAACCGGTTTGTCTAGATGTCCTAATAGTTTTTGGCAGAAAAGTCTGGGCAGTTACACCAAAACCTGCATCTTCAGGGTGTTTAGTGTGTGTACACATACACACCTGGATTTTTCATTCTTATAGTTCTGAAAAATAAGGGGGTATTGCTGCCTAGCATACTTCCTTAGACTTTAGCCTGATCAGTGTAATAATTTGGGATTTCACTTTCTTCTGCCTTCTCCAATAGAGTTGCTGGAATTGTGGCCGTAAAGCGAGTGAAACCTGCAGCGGCTGTAACACAGCCCGATACTGTGGCTCGTTTTGCCAGCACAAAGACTGGGAGAAGCACCACCACATCTGTGGACAGACCCTGCAAGCCCAGCAGCAGGGGGATACGCCTGCTGTCAGCTCCTCCGTCACGCCTAACAGTGGGGCCGGGAGCCCGATGGACACACCACCAGCAGCCACCCCGAGGTCGACCACCCCGGGGACCCCTTCCACCATAGAGACAACCCCTCGCTAGATGTGCACTCAGAACTGTCAGAGGAAAGACAACACAACCAACGTGAAACCAATTCCTCATCCTCAGATGCTCAAAGTTGTTTTTTGTTTGTTTGTTTGTTTATAGGTGGACTATCCTGGTTCAGTACTTCAGCAAGAGAGAACCTAACTGTATCTTGAGGCGTTAGTAAAACAGAGGGCCAGTAACGGGTCGTAATGACTTACTGTGGATAACAAAGATTTCTTTTCCTTAGAGAACTGAAAAGAGAGCAGAAAATATAACATGAAATGATAGGTTTGACCTCCTCCTTGTTATTTTCCAGTAGCTGGGATTTTAAACTAGATGACCTCATTAACCGATGCTTTACCAAACAGCAAACCAAGAGATTGCTAATTGCTGTTGAAAGCAAAAATGCTAACATTAAAAGTCACAATGTTCTTTATATACAATAATGGAAAAAAAGAGGAAAACCCTCAAGGGCATGAGCATTGGCTACAGCAGTAGACATTTTAACAAGAAGATGAATGGCGTCCGTGGGTTGCTAACTGAACTTTGAAGACCCGCCACAAAACGCGCAGATGTGTAGCATATTGGAAGGAGACACAGATGTTCGGTTTTTTTCCTGTTTCTGAAAAGAAATAATATCCAGGTCAACAGAAGGAAAAATGAAAGATGATTTGCAGTGGGATATATGAATACAGCAGCAAGAAAAAAAATGCCATAACATAAAAGGCTCCTTTATATATATATATACACACACACACAGAAGTAAGAGACTCAGCCTGCAGTTGTTAGCATCCTGGCAGCTTTGACACCAGCCAGCTGCCCTAAACAGCCCTCAACGTTTCTTCACTTTTGCAAGGTTCCACAGAGCAAGACATTGGGTCTATTCCAGCTCATTCATTTTATATTGAAAATTTTTAAAAATGATGGCTCCAGCTCCAGCCCCTTTCTAAATTTTTTCAACCCCACCCTGTTTGGATTTTTAATTAAAAACTAGTAGTTCTCTTGGTGTTAAAACACTTCTGTCCTGTGAGGTTTCCCAATGGTGTTTTTCTTGTAAACGTGCTGGACGACTGTGAAGACGCGTTGTAGTTTAACCACGTGCCCACATTTAGTCTCTTTATTCCTAGTTGGTGAGAAACCTGTATCTTTCTATGCTGCTTTTATATCTGTATGTATTAGTGGTATTTCTCTAGTAGTTCAAAAAAAAAAAAAAGAAAAAAGGAAAAAAAAGACTTTTTTTGGTTGTCCTCAAGAAAAGAAAGAAAAAGGCTATCTTTCGGAGCTGCTATTTCATTCTCTTATAGAATTTTTTTTTTTTTTCCTGAAAACCAGCATGCTTCACGGAATGCTAACATATTGGTGTTTTTGTAAGAGGGATGTACATAAATGTATTTTGCACTGTCACAATGACTCCCTAGGCATGCTTTTTTTTTTTTTTGAGCAAACTCTTTAAATATGCTAGAGCCATTTCACCAAGTTTAGCTGTAGCATAGAGTAGTAGTGGAATTTTTCTTTTTTCTTTTTTTCGTTGAAAAATCATTATTAGGGACTTTAAAAAATAACAAGATATCCTACTTAAAAAAAAAAAAAGACAGTGCATGCGTATTGCTGTAAGGTTGTTTAAGTATTTCTAATTTTACAAAAAAAAAAAAAAAGATAAATCATTAGAGCTCCAAATGCTGAGGTGTAGACTGACAGCTTTAACACTGCTGAATGCCAGGTTATACAGTATTCTTAAAAAAAGGGAAGTCAGCCAAAGACTGATCTGATGGACCAAAATCGGAATTTTGAAAAGCACCAGTACTACTTTCCAAAATGATCAGCAGGTTAAACATGTTCAGCAAGGTATAGTGTGAATCCATTAACCCTTCGTCGTCCAGGGTCCAGACCAGAACTACTTGTTAGTTTTGTAAACAGTAGCCCAGAATGTGGTTATGTGCTTTAGGGAAAGTCAGCAGTGCTGCAGGCTGTGTAGACAACCAAAGTTTTCAAGGCTGGGAAGACACTTCTCCACATACATACACATACCAGGCATTGATTTAAAAATCTAAAATGGTCCATTAGCTTTGGTTTTGTTTTGTTTTTAAATATAGCCTTGGATACAGTTTTAAATGGCTTTTAAGTATCTGCATATAGGTAATCATAAATCTCTTAAACCTAACATTTTTTGCATTTTCCCCTGTATTTTCACATACAAGTTGACTTTAATTTTGTTTGGGTGGTATGTTTATTTTTAAATGGCTTTTTAGTTTAGAAACTTCTGATGAGCAAATACATCTATCTGCATGTTGGAAGTCCATCTGCCAGCACACCTGCTTAAAGTGAGATGAAAGCACATAACCAGGCTCTGAATGGGTTATATTTTATCATGGTGCTCCCAGAATCCTTTGACCTCACTCTGCTTTCTAGTCTGCTTGTGACACTGGACAGTCCTTTCTTACAGAGCTATTATATGTTCTAGGCTACGAAGGGTTAAATAATCCCAAAAATGAGGTATGTCATACCCACACGTCTTTATCTCTAGAAGCTGTGATGTATGTGAAACAGCACTGTTATTCTTAACACTAGTGTGTAAAATAAGGATTAGTACAGTACGTCTCATTACTTTTAATTCAGGGCACCCTGAGTGAAAACAAATACAAAAAATCCCTAACTCTGAGCTCTATCTCTGATTCCTCTTCCTCCTTCCCCTCTTCCTCCTCCTCTTCCTCTCCTCCTGTTTTGCTACATTCTCCTCAGTGGCAAAAAGTTTCACTCTACCTCTGACAGCATGTATATTGCACCAGTAGCTAACAAAAACTGGTCTAGTCAAACCAAATGGGCACAAAAGAACCAGGATACCAAAAGTTAAGCTCATACAGCTGCAAACCATATCACTTCTTGGTAACAATGCAGACCTCATAAACCTAAAGAAGAGAAAGAAAAGAAAACTTTTGTTACTTTCCTTTTTTGCTTGTCACTTATATACAGGCTATGTGAGAGTATAATTTGTAGGTATAACACATTTAAAAAAAAAGTTATCTTCATTGGATAGAATTGAATGGTGGTCGCTGATAGGAATAGGGCGTCCTCTATCTCTTCTCTCTGTCTCTGACTCTTTTTCTCTTTTTCTCTGTCAGGAGACTGTGTGTGACAGGATCACCTGTCTTTTTTTTTTTTTTCTTTACTTTTTTTTTTTTTTTTTTTAATTTGGAGGGGCTGTTCTTGGGGCTTTTA